TTTTCTTGGGAAACAGTTGTTGGATTACTTGGAGACAGTGTTGAAACAGGCAGACAGAAACTTCAAGGAAATCGAGGTGGAAAATGCTAGAATTCAGGATGAGCTCGCTGAGGCGCAAGCGCATGAGTGTCGAGTGATCCACGTGTGTCGACACGCCACTTTTCCATCGTCACATGAGGACGAGTTTCCGGGCGACGAACGACTCGTCATTCCCACCAACAGGTAAGACTCACGTGTTCTGACACGGGCACACAAAATATTTGGCTCAAGGAAACAGATCCGTTGGAATGTCAAGCTTTTCTTTCCACCTCGTTCTCACACGAGTGATGAATATAAGAAAAAAATGCACTTGGTTTCGTGAAACTGTTCACTGATTTTAGATGTATCATTTTTTGCGGCTGGGGTTTCTTTTTTTTTTCAATGCACGGGGATGTTGAAGCGTACTTGAGCTTGTCCTGAGCTTTTTCAGCTTCATAAATTTTTGTAGGGGGACTGGTCCGCTTTCTCCGTGGACTACTGATTTCAAAGGAAACGTAATTGCCGCTGTAATTACATTTCCGAGCTTCATTCAGGTTGCGGAATGGAACAGTTAGTCCGAAACGAGATTCGAAATGAGGAAAAATGAATCAAGTGACTCCCATAAATGTCAATGATTTATTGGAGCTCTGCGAATGAAAATCGCTGAAATGTGTAAAGAATCGTTAATTTTCAAAATTGTCCATTTTTCGCTTGCGCAATATGAGTTATTTTCCGGGACTGAAATCGGAAGAATAGATCTTAATTGGTTTTGAATTATATCATGGCCATCACTGTAGAGATTTACGACTTTTTTATTCATTGAAATGAATGGTGCCTTCATGGCAGTCGTTTTCTCAAATCAAATTTATCTGTTCGTTAACAGAATTGAGTCTTCAAAGAAAAAAAATTTCCTTAATTTTTCGCTGTCTATTCACTCATGTTTGTGCAGCTTTCGTACAGCCATGCTCTTCCGAAATGACTTTTCTAAATTTTAAAATTAATTTACTGTACAACGAAGACAATTTCGAAGCAAAAAGGTTTGTGTGAACATTGACGCTCCCAAGTTCAGCCAACTCGATAAATTTACAGACAATGAGGATCGGCTCAATGCTCAACCGTATCTTTCAACCTTTTCAGAAAACGAACGAATCAAATCAAATTATTGTTTCTAAAAAAAATTATTCTTGGATGACCTTTCTGGATTCAATCGAATCAGAATTTTATCGTTGGTTCGACGTCTTCAATTTCAGGGTTAGAATGCCAGCGAATCGAGAGCCCGACAGCGTGAATTCCCCGTCGTTCAACGACTCCCAGAGTTTTCAAGAAAGCGGAATTTTCGACGGCAGCTGTTCCATCAGCGATGCCGTGAGCGAGTCCACGCAGACCGACGATGCTGACGTGTCTGACGACTGCCCAAAGGTCGACGACGTTGACACCAAGACCCAGCAGAAACGCAAAAAGATGAAGATGATGTCCAAGCCGAAACCCGTGGCTGTTTTCAAAGACGAATCGTCGTCATCCTGCGTAGACTCGCATTCTTCATCCGGCGCGAATGATGACGAGGATGACGAGGAATGCGGGGTTCGCGTGTCCGTTGTCAAGAGACTGGAGTCGGAAAAGGCGAGGCTGGCTGAAGAGGCTGAGAGCTGGAAATCGCGTGCGGAAACCCTTGCGAGAGACGTTGAGGTTTTGTCTCAGAAATTGAGGAATTTGGAATTTGCCGAGAAATCTGCCAGGCAGCAGATCAAAGCGTGAGTGTTTTACCTTCATTATTACCTCGAGAAAATCCCTCCGCGCTCAATTCATTCCAAGGGATGATGTGGGCCGCATACAAAAAAAAAGTATAACGATTTAAACCTTATTGTGCTGGAATCTTCGGGAAAATTTCAGTTATGGAATCAAAAAAATATCTTACATAATAAAGTTACTTGCCTCCGTAAGTTGGTCAGATTGTTTCTTCGCACCCTTCCCTTCCCAGTTGCCCCCTACCTCCCTCCCACAGAGACCAGTGTTCCCTCACAAGTGAAGTTCTGAGTTTGTCTTCAAAAATTGTTTTAAAATTTTTTTATGGGCCAAACTTCAATTTTTTTACACCATTGGATGCATGCTGAAGTTTTCTAAATTTTTGTGTTTTTTTCATGAAAAAATATGCAAAATTGAGTAAATTATAGTTGAAAATGTGAAACGTTTTTCGAAATTTTCGTGTGCTGCCTCCTTTCCC